TTTTTTTTTTGATGCGTTGTTATGAAAACATACGTTGATTGTTTGTGAAAACAGACAACGAGCTTCTGCGCCGGCAGTTTGCCGAAAAGGCCAACGCGGTCGGACCATGGATCGAACGACAGCTCGATGCCGTCACTGCCATTGGTCTTGGACTACAAGGTACTCTGGAAGATCAGTTGCATAGACTAAAGGAGTACGAGCAAGCTGTGTACGCGTACAAGGCTCATCTCGAGGAACTCGAGAAGATACACCAGGCAGTACAGGAGGGTATGATTTTCGAGAACCGCTACACTCAGTACACCATGGAGACGCTTCGTGTAGGCTGGGAGCAGCTTCTCACCTCCATCAATCGCACCATTAACGAGGTCGAGAACCAGATACTCACGCGCGACTCCAAGGTAACATTCAAAGCTGCTTTGCAAATAGCAAATTCAACCTCGGGACTGAAACTCAACGTGTATAAACGGCAATTTTCCGTTTGACAGGGTATCACGCAAGAACAGCTCAGCGAATTCCGCAGCAGCTTCAACCACTTCGACAAGAACCGAACGGGTCGACTTGCGCCAGACGAGTTCAAATCCTGTTTGGTATCGCTTGGCTATTCGATCGGCAAAGACAGACAAGGCGACATCGATTTCCAGCGCATACTCGCGATTGTCGATCCCAACAACTCTGGTTACGTGCAGTTTGACGCCTTCCTCGACTTCATGACTCGCGAGTCGACGGACACAGACACCGCTGAGCAGGTCATCGACAGTTTCCGCATTCTCGCGGGAGATAAGCCTTACATTTTGGCCGACGAGTTGAGAAGGGAGCTTCCACCTGATCAGTAAGTTGCACTGAAGTAGTAAGTAAAAGTACAATTACTGGAATATCTAATTAATCGCTTATAATTTAAAGGAGTGAATACTGCATACAGAGGATGACACCCTACAAGGGACCCAACGCCATTCCCGGGGCTCTTGATTACCGCTCGTTCTCGACCGCCCTTTACGGCGAGTCGGATTTATAAGCTAAAATCACACGACAAACTTAAAAAAAAATCATGTAAATTTTAGGATCTCTCAAGAGCGATTCGTCCACGATTTTCTCTGCTCGCCTCGAAAGAGTCAACAATACAAATGCGATCGGAGTATTTGAATTAAAAAAAAAA